ACAAATGGACTGGTTTGGCTTTCACAGGGAGGGTATGGAGAAGTTCTTAGTAACAGCTAGCTGAAGTGCTTATTTGAAACAGAGGGATTGTAGAAGCTCATGGTGTTTCCATTTCTGGGTGTGGTTTTTTCAGGCTTCCCTTCTTCATAATTCTTTTTTTCACTTGCTACCCTCTCTCTGCCTTTTTCTGAAGAAAAGCTCTTCTTTTACAGCTGATGGTATTTTCCATCAAATTTGCCTCTTGCCCCTACTTAATAATCTCTCCCCACCAGAGGAGGAGTTTCTGATAATAATCCTGGGGATTTCTCAAGTGGTCTGCTACCAGCCACAAAGTTGCAGCTGTTGAAAAAATTTAAAGCATCTCCTACATCAGTTTCCCCCAGCCCTTGGCGTCACAGCTCAGATTTGGGGCTTTTAATAGGAAACCTATTGAGGGTCATAGTGGTTCTGATGAATATTTGTATACATGACCTTAAGAACTCGGAGGTGCAATGCACAGTGCATTGAAGGCCGTAGGAGGCTTTCCACAGGCTTTGGTGCACTTTGGCTCAGGCTTTTAAAGAATAACAGGAAACATTGGAAAATGCACCAAGGGTAAACAGAGCAGTTTAGTTACATTAACTGTCTAGAGGAGAAGCTCCACTAATGACTGAAACAAACAAAGCAAGTGCATTTATTTAGCATCGCTGTGGGAAAACAAATGGCTGTTAATTGCATTTAGCTAAAAAGGGTTACACAAGAAATTGGCCGGCTCAGGCCCAGAGTGTAATTCTGGCATCCTGACCCAGTTCTCATTGCTGCGTAGACTGACGGAGAATAGTGTCCTGGAAAGGAGCACAGACTTCAGAGAGGCCAGGGCTTTGAGAGACTGCATACACTTTAAAGTGTCGTTCTACAAAAAACAGCATCAAAGAGATCTTTTTGTTGCTGCCTCCCTGTGACTCCTGATAAAATTTGCCTTGCTGTGATTATGTTAACAGTCAGGACTCAGACTGGTCTGTCAGCTTGTTTCTGGATTCACATATGATAAGCAACAATAAATATGCTGCAGGACTCCTTTGGTGATGCCTTAGTGTCTTTGACTGATAACCAGTGCATTATTTATATTAGAAAAGGAGCTGGAGTGTGAAACCAGAGTCCTGTTGTGCTTTCTTTGAATAAACATAGAATGAAAGGAGTTGGAGGGCTGACAGTCTAAGCTGTTCTTGCTTGCCTTTGTGGAAACTCATTGTCTTCAGGAGGAGAATGTGACGAACCGAAGGCTGAAATTCACCCTGTGCTTAGAATGGAGCTAGCAACAGTAACAGCACAAAGGGAAGAAATCGAGTCCTGCTCCTCTGTAATGGCTCTGCTGGCTTTGCTGTCTAAAGGGTAACATGCAGGGTGGGTTTGTTGCTCCTGTTAAAATGGACAGCTTCAACTCTTGAGAGCACAGAGGGCAGTGGTTTGGCAGGGTAATGTGGTGCCATTTTGACATTCCTACTTCTAATCCAGGAGCCATTCTTGTCAGCTCTTTTTTCAAGATCTGTTCATGTAAGAATAGAACTCCTTCCCATGGCAGAATATTTCAAGAGACTGATTATCTGCTTCTAATTCCATGTGAACTTCTGAATAGCAGGTAAGATTAGATGAGCACAAAGAAAATGCAAAGTACTGAATCAGCGCTTGCAGTGCTGTTTAGTACAAACGCATAATGCTCTGTCCGATTTATTTCAGTTAAAAGGAGGGTGACTATTCATTAGTGGAAAGAATCAGCATGGCATTACATTTACTATGTGTTTAGGAAAAACTGATCCCTTTGATGTAGCTGGAGACCCTTGAACTTCAGAAAAGAATGTGTTAGCATGCTAGGGTATGCCTTAGTCCTGCAGGTCATTTAATTCTTTCCTCAAGTGAGTCATTGTAAGGTAAAGTAGATGCTGGGAAAAGTTCTGTGCTGCCAATTAAAACAGGCTCCAAAGGTGTTGCTGGTTTCATTCTACCAGAAACTCATCACAGAGAGGCCAGTAGAGGTTGCCTATGTACCTCGAGGCCAGATCCCAAACTAATATAAACTGGCATGGTTCTTTTGACTTAGCAGAGCTCCTTTGCTTTATACCAATAGCTCAGGCTTAATTCCTTTGTGCTTACAACTTTTTAAAGAATTTCTGTTAAGAAATCAGGAATGATTCAGAAAGGTGTCCATTTCCACCCGTGTAAGAATTGAACAAATTTCAGAAGAAGCCTGTAAATAACTCTGAGATGTGAGTTCTGACTCAGTCTTTACGGAGAATACATTTTATCTGCCTCAACACCCCTGCAAAATTCAAGCTGAGTAACGAAGGTTTACCTCAGCATTTCTCCTAGGCGGACATCTTTCATGAGGTCAGGTTTAAAATAAAGTTAAGGACAGGAATGTACTAATTAGTAACTGTAGCCCTTGTTGTTTGCCAACAAAAAAAATCCCACTTTCAACAAATTTAACGAAGAGTAAATGAAGTTAATCAGAAAGCTAAGGCATTAATCTTAATTAAGGAACTCTAGACCAAACAGTAGTCTTTTGTGGAAGAGATCAAATCAGGGAGCCTGAAACGCTTTGGAAAGTCAGGAAGATGGTTTGTTTTCACTTTTTTCAAGTGGAACAGCTGAGGTGCCGACCAGGAGGCCATTCAGGAAGCTGCCAGAATGGGAGTGCTGCCAAGCCCCTTCACACAGAAGCCCTGACAGAGTAGAAACCTGAAGGACCCAACTTTGAGTCTCAGCACCGTGTCAGTCACAAGGCAGGCAAGCTGACAGAAACCTTGGAAACCTGCCTTGTTTCCATTAGAAGAATTAACATGATTGCTGCATACCCCCAAGACTTCTAAACTGGCATTGTTGGGCAGGCAAACTTTCCTCTGGAAGATTTCCAGCCAGCTCACATACCTTGCTTCATGGTACTTAGCTCTTCCTTTCCTGACTTTTAGGAATACAAACTTTAGATGGGCTTATTTGCATTGGAGGAATACTGCTGGAACTTTCTTCCTAGCATGTGAAGAGTTTTCTCCGTGTGTAGAAACAACATGGGTAAAATATTTGGAGTGAAATCCAGGCTCCATTGAAGTCAATGGCAAAACTCCCATTCACTTCAGTGGAGCAGGAATTTCACTCTTTACTGTTTTGAAGTTAGAGTTACTAATAGACTGTTAAATTATTCCTGCGTGCATCAAACAAAATGTGCTTGATGTTGATGTTTCTGCTGTGTTCAAAACCCACAAAGGTTTAAAAACAAGAATAACTACAAACTTCTGAGTCTAAAAATTATGTTAAAAGTAGTTTTGCTAGAAATAATAATGTCCCTGGAGATAAACCTAAAATAATAGACTCCACCATATAATCTTCACTTTAAGCTAAAAATAGCATGGATGGTGGTTTAATCTAAGCCATAATTATCAAACTGCTGAAGCCAGTTTTGGTTCATTGCAACTAGAAATGTATGTCGTGTTTAGGCTTTGAACAGTTGAGTCCCAAAACTGGAGAGAAGCAAAGCCAAGAGCATAGTCAGAAAGCAAACAGGAGCCTCTGGTTTGCAGAGAAATAGCATGGATTAAAGAGTCCAACACTGTGTTTAAAGGGACTGCTCCTGGCTTGCTCAGCCCAGTCAGCTGGAGACCGAGCGAGTTCCTATTAATCTGTGTTTTCAGCCCTAAATCGGTGACTCTTACTTTGCTAGAAAGTGACACTGGTCATAGGAGGCACCTTTTGTCTGAAAGCCATTTTCCATTTCATGTTGGAATCGAAGGAAGGATGTTAACCTTTCAAAATGTTATTATTCCATACGATTTTAAAAAATTAGTTTAATGATCATTTCAAAGTAGGGTGGAAAACCCTTAACTCACTTTTGCCGCCAGGCAGCATGGTATGATGGGCTGAGTGTAGGACTGCCAGGCAGGACTTCTGACATTTTGCCGATGTAGCTGGTGAACTTGGTCACATCATTTATCCCTTCTTTGCCACCATGAGGGCTGTTCACAAAGGCTTACCTCCAGCAGAGGAGTCTTACCTTCCTTTAGTGGCAACAGAGATTTATTCTGAAGAGCGATTTACTATAGCAGCCCAATGGTAGAGACTCCACTAATGATAGAAGGGTCTTGAGTGGGAAGTTGAATGGAGGGTAAAGTAATACTTTTCTGTTTCTGAATACTCTTTGAAATCCTCACTGAATGTATTTGAGTTTCTCCATGTATGTTTACGCTACACAATCTGCTGCTTGTTTTGCTGAATAGGTCACATTCTGTTCTTTCTGAGGCTGGCATGGGGCAGTCCTGGTGCTTGTTTGGACAGTGCTTGCAGAAATGGGGGCTTGATTCTGCCTCAGGCTCCTATCTGAGCATTGCTGTTACAGAGTCATAGACTGAATTAGGTTGGAAGGGCCACTGGAGGTCATCTGGTCCATCCCACCGCTCAAAGAAGGATCAGCTTAAAAGTTAGATGAGAGATTGTACAATATCACAGATTTAGAGACATGTTTTTCCTAACAGTGGAGTTATTCCAAATTCACACTGACACAACAACAAAATTGGCCCACCTCTAGTATTAATTTGTTGACCATTCTCTCAGTATGATTATAGGGACCATATCCACTAGATTTGAGAAAACAATCAAAAATTTTCAATAAATACTACCTTTGGTAGTCTAGCAGATATCCTTCGGCTGTGCTACATCACTTCTCCAGGTTCATTTCTCAGGAACCCTCAAATAGTTACGTTTCCTGGTAGGAAAGTGCATAGGAAGCACATTTAAAAGTTTCAAGCAGACAAATACTAAAACCTTTGTGAAGTTAAGGCAATGGATAAATTCAAGGAACCTCTATCTATTCATTAAACAGGTGCCCAGAGCAGTAGGTGAGTGATTCTGTGTTATTTGTGCAGCCTGTTTTCGATCTGTTAATTGCTGAGTGTCATTACTAAGTCCAATGGGAAAAGAGAAACCCACATCATAACTTGATAGTTTTTTTGTCTTGTTTTGTTTTAATCAAACAGCATGGGAATGAGCCATGATGATGACCATCAGCCCTGCGCAGGAAGGTCTCATATTATGTCTGGAGAATGGGTGAAGGGCAGGAACCCAAGTGACCTTTCCTGGTCTTCATGCAGCCGCGATGACCTTGAAAACTTCCTAAAGTAAGGATTGTGCTGATTATCACAAATCCTATCAGACAAGAATCCAATGTGTTATTTGACAGTGAAAGTCTAAACAATTTTCCTTAAAAAACAAGTGTGTGCATGTGTCATTAGGGTGTGCAAGTTTGAATCTGTCTCTATACTGTAGCCTCTTTGAAACTGAGGTTTGCAGAGAGGCAGAAGAATTATGTGCAGTTGTCAAGGTACTGATAGCTTCTTAAAAACAATCCCAGATCACCTTCATTTTACAAAAAATGCCCTTCATGTTTGCGATGACAGGAATCTGTGTGTAAGTGGCCTGAAAAAATCTTCTCCATTGAAGGATGCTGCCAGCTTTGTGCTATGGCTTTTACTGTCATTATTATTATTAAATAGCTTTTATTTTATGGAAACTTTATTTTGCCTGGAGGTAATTCTGATGTGTTTTCTCACCCCTCAGTGAGTGTTGGTCTTAAACAGTTCACTATAAACTACTTTCCCACTGCATCCATATTTCAGTTCCAATGTTCAGGGAGGATTTCTGTCCTGCTGCTTGTTAATTCTCATGTACTATAGCAAGCACTGGAATTGTCTTAATTCTCTAATTGTGGTCTTAGACCTACAGTGCAGCTCTCTGACAAACAGTGTCTGGCACAGTGGCCAGCGCTTTTGTTGCTAGAAATGGGTTCAGCATGGAAAATTCCCCATTCTGGGGATTAGAGGTGGGAGAGAAAGGAAAATAATGAAAGAAAATGAGAAACCTGCTGTTACATTAAAGGCATGAAGTTGAAAAAGAAGTTGCATCTGAACTCACTGATCACTGGTCCCTGACAGAGGGGAGATGACAAAGTGATATTCCAATTTATAAAAGATTGTTGTGAAGGCAAAGGGGAAAATCTTTCCTTTATGTCTGTGATGGAAAAGCAAAGAAGTCAAGGGCTTCAAATTCAGCTAGGGGGATTCAAATGAGACATGATAGAAGGCTTTCTAGCTGTCATTGTAAGGTTTGTGAAGCTTTGGACTAGATAGCCTGAGGGCAGAATTGAGTCTCCATCAGATTTTTAGGAATAGATTAGACAAATGTTTAAATCGGAATAATGTGTATATAGTCGATTCTGCCTCAAGGCCTGGAGCCAGGGATGAGTTCCCAAGAACCTTTCTATCCATAGTTTTCAATTATTTAGAAGGCTTCCAGATAAATACTGGGAAAAATCACTGCTGTTTCACATGAGGTCTTCAGATTCACTCTTAAAGAGAGGACAACAGCTTCTCTACAGCAGTGATCTAGCACTCCAGTTCAAAGGTGCTTTCCCTTAAAGGCACATTTAATTCTTACACTCCACAGGTCCAAGGTCAGCACCTGTTTGCTGGTAACAGACCCCCGAAGCCAATATGCGGTGCGGCTCCCTCACAAGCTGCCTGGAATGCACTACAGTGCCGATGAACAGTGCCAGATACTTTTTGGGACCAATGCTACATTCTGTAAGAACATGGAGGTAAGAGCTCATGGGGTGTACCTGGAAACAAGGTGGGAAGTGGAAATAAAGCTGTCAAGCACTGGGGAAGAAGAACAGCCTGTACTTTCCTCAGAACTACTTAATGGGATTTTCAGCATGTTCAGCACTGCTGATGCAAAATCAGTGGTCAAACTCCCATTGACCTTTGTGTCAACAGCGCATACTCCTGCAGCCCTCCTCCTTTCCCCACGTTGGTGTTGTTAACCAACTAGAGCAGACCCAGAAAAACTTTTGTTTGTACACAGCCTTAATTTAGGGACAGTTCCCTTTTGACACTGTTTTGCTGAAGTACTCAGTAGATTGTTTTGCTGGATGTTCAGCTGAGGTGAAAGTCTTTTCTCACAAGAACGCTTGCCTACTTCCACAGACTCAGCCTAGATGACTGTCGGGGTCTTTCAGTAGACCTCACCTTCAGACCGTTACAATGTTCTCAGGAGCTGACTCTAACTCTGTGCCGAGGAAATATTAATGACTGCTTGTTTGATGAGGCCATTGAGAGATTTGTGCAGAATGAGGCCCCTTCCTGTGTATGTTCCAAGCAACTTGATGTTTAGTCAGGATTTGGGGGCAACATGGCTTATATCGTATGGTTGGTTGGCAAAATGGAAACACTGATTTTTGGTGTCTCTAGAAGTAGGTCGAATTTGAGATGAGGCTGTCTGGCTTGTCCTCTGGAATTTAGACAGCTAAACTTTTCCTAGGGTCTTGCACATAATTAGATGTCTTCATTCTGACCAGAGCTTGTCTGCATCCCACTTTAGATAGGGAGTGGAGAAATGCTAACTTCCAGTGTGGCCTCGGAGATATCCAGAAAAAAAGTCATGAAGCACTGTGCCCTGTCACCAGCACCAGCTGGCAGCATTCTGTCCTGTAGAGGCAGGCATGAAGCAGCCAGGTTTCTTGCTGTCATTAACTAGCCTTTTGTATTTTTTAGTTGTCCCTCATTCCCATTCTGAACAATCTTGGGGTCTTAAATCAGTGTTAACAAAGAAAATAATAATCAGTGATAACTGAGGTTTCTAAGTGCCAAATTACTAAAACTGTTGAACACATGCAAGTCCTGGGAACATGCTCTTAGTTTCACATTTGCTGTTTTATTTATTTTGGATTTGGAAACTAGCTAATATAAAACAATAAGAAAAGAATCTGGGTAGGTTGTATTTTCCAGCTCCAGCAAGAAAATGTAGACCACCAGGACTACTGTACTGGAAGCAAAGTATTAGAATATAGGTCTGTAAAGAAAACCCCAGATCTACCCAGGATGATTCAAGTTCTTCCACTTGTGTGGGTGTCACCCAGCTTGACTGCTGTTGGAATAGATATCTGCTCTTTCCCTTGTTGCGATAAAAAACATTCTGTTTCTGGATAGTCCAGTGCCTAATGAAAATGTCAGCCTACTGGTAGGTGGTCAGCATTTCTCATGTAGAAATTGCATGTCCAGTCTGGAATTGCTTCAGGGACAAGTTGCTTGCCAGAATAACAAGCCAACAGGCAGTGTTCTTCTCTGTAAGATACAGACAGCAGGTGTTTCTGTCTCCCAAGATTTTTCACCAGTCTTACTATTTGACATCTTTAGAACACAATGAAAACTCTGCTCTTTTCCTCCATCACTCCTTTAGTATCTCCTAAAGAAAAGCATATTTTGTAAGGACTTTAGGACTTTCTAATGAAAAGCCTTGTATAACTTCAGCAGACTAAAACCAATTTGCAATCACTTATTTAGAAGTATTTTTCTGTTACAGATACATGTTAAGTGTTAGCATTCACACTGTGAAGCTTTGGATCAATTATGTCACATGCCATTAGTTTAAGTAAATATTTGCATCCTTTATGCTACTCTGAATTGGCGTTTGAAGGCAATGAAATGAAATTCTTTAAAGGAAATGATCAGCTTTAATTTTTAAACCTTCGAAGTTTGTGTTCTTTTCACCTTTGTGTTTCTCATGCCTCATCTGCAGAATGCTTGTATCGTAAGTCTCAAAGCTGTCTACAAAAGTATGAACCAAAAAAAAAAATTGGCACTAGTCATTGGCATTAGCTGTAGAAATTACTGGCAAATATAGCTGTCTCCTCTTCTAGCCAATGGTAATGTGGTATTTTTAATTCAATAAAGTATTAAAAAAATCCAAATGTAAAAGTAATAAACATTTGACAGTAAATATTTGTTACAAAAAGGAAATAAACTTCAGGAAATGAGCCTCCTCAATCTTTTTATGATTACATGTGTCTACTATCTATTTTCTTATTTAATAAAAGAGTTACATTAGAACATTTCATTGGAGATAGTTGAGCTACATAATTATATCAGGCAAACTAGAGGACCTGTGTTCAAAAATGCCATACAATCTGGTTGTAGAGCAGATTTCCGAGATTAGATGAATCCAAAATTTCGACATTTTTGAGAAACTGCAGAAACTTTCTGGGCAGTATTCCTTAAAGGCATCAAGGCCCAAAATTTTAAAGGAGTATAATCTCCTTTGCCTTCACAGAGTCAGGTGCCTAAATGCTTGGCAGTGTCTGGACCTCAGACACTGGTCCAACTCAATAGTTAATCCATGAATATTCAACCTTTTCGGGATATTTCAGATCGCATTTCCAAAATTCTTCTTCCATGTTTGTTTTTAATGATAAATCAGGTGCCCTAGTACAAAATAGTAGCCCTCAGAGTTATAAGTTTGCCAAACCAGCTATCCTGCAGCTATTCTGCTTCAAATTTGCAGAACAAAAAAGAAAACTTGAGGTAGGCTCAGCTTTACACAAACTATACCTCTTAATGTTCCTTTTTAATTTGCTTGGACACTGAGTCTACGTTTTAATATACTAAATTTTTTTTAAATGAACTGATTAACAGCATGAGTATATGATAATCAGGTTAATCATAGCCTATCTTTGTAATCTATGACCTCCAAGATGTATAATTTAGGATCTGGTCCTGTAACATCCATGTTAGGTAAGATTTACTAGTGCATGTCACCTGTTTAAGGAGCTGTGGAATCAGGCTTTTAGGCTAGATGCTTGTTAGGCAGGGAACAATCAATTTCTGTTTATTTGAAAAGCACCGCTTCTATTATAATACTGTACGAATAAGAAATGGCAAGATTACCTGCCAGCCCCTTGAGGGAATGCAAGTCCATTTTGGTGTGTGCTCTGCTCATAATTTTACTGGTTTGAGATACATGCAGGTGGCTGCTTTTGGATTAACTTTAACCCAAGTATTAGATGGGTGAGTCCTTGCTCATCATCAGGAAAGTAAATGTTTTCAAGGCTCCGTGGAAGAATTAGTTTTGATCTGAGGAACTGAATAACAAAACAGAAGTTGGGCAGTTCTCAAGTGAGATGATTTCACATATGATAATGAGTATCTCAAGACTGTTTAGTAGTTCCCCCTTCACATCGGAGTTACATAGTTTTCTCCCGTAATACGCAAAGGGATCAAAAGTGTTTTCACATGGTGCTTTCTGTTAATCTTTCCCACTGCAAATGTTAGGCATTGTCTGATCAGTGAGAATGCTTATCTAGCAGGACATACAAATGGGCTTCTACCGTAGCAGACATGCTGTCTGCTTTCAGCTGGGAGGCTGTACAGCCATGCTCATAAGAGTTTGCACAGTGATCTTTATTTTGAGGGAGATAAGTTGCTTTTAGCAGAAATTAAATAGATGACCATGTCATTCTCAAGCTCCGAGCAAAATTGTGATACGAGTTGTGGAAAAAACTAAATAGCAATGCACATTGGACAGTGCGTAGTGCATTATCAGTGTACCCCAAACACAGAGATGATCTGGAATTCTGGTTGCTAAATGTTGACTGCGTCCAGGGATAACGTGCTAGGTTGTGCAAATTACAGGAAATTCAACCTGTCTGACTTTGGTTCTTCAGATCCATGCTGTGCTATGAATCGAGTATTGTAAATTCGTTTGAACCCTATGCAAGAGGAAGCAAAAGGCTTCAACCCCACTCAAGCAATGAAAGCTTCTGCGGAGAGCAGACTTTAACTCTTTGCTGTCCCCTTTATTTAGCAGTGCAGTCAGCGAGAGGAATAGCGCAGATGGTTTATGCTGAATCTCTCACAGAGCAGAGATGGTGTTTCTCCACCAGGAATGTGTAAAAACGCATTGTTCGTAACTTCACGTGAAAATACGCTGTGTGTTTAATCAGAACACTGGGTTTGTTTTTCAGACTGGCATGCCTACGAACAGAGGCTTTTGCACTGAAATTATATTTATGGAAAAAATGTGATTTCTATCTCTTGTATCCAGTGTTTGGCTTTTTGTTTTATATGCCTTTTGGCTTATTTATTATTAACACATTTTTGCGGGTTTTTACATAACCATTATCTTTCAGTATTGTTTTGAGTCAAAACTGTGCTTAGGCTAAAATGACATGTGGAAAGAGATTAGCATTGCTACAAAGAGATTCTTTTCTGGAAAAGGGACACCGTCAACTCAGATGTAACTGGGAATGTGAATTTTGACATGACACTTTTTAGAAAAATTAAAACAGCTAGAATTGACTCTACTGGTTTTTCTTAAGTTCAGGTTGGTTTTTGAGAAATATAGCTGTCTCCCTGTAACTACAAGCTACAGAGCAGCAGCACAGAACAAGGGGGCAAAGTTGATTGTAAGCCAAAGGAGACTGACTCGATTTCTGGGCTAAAATGCAAAAGGAGAGGAACCAAAAAACAAAGGGAAGGAAGAGCAACAATTGTAATAATCAAGTGGATTTTACATATCCCTTCAGTTTTCATATTTGATGGTATGGTGGTGAATATAATTAAGTAATTCTAGGTCTCTCTGTGGTCTTGATCTTGCAAAGAGACTGGCGGACTGGACTCTTGGACTCCATACATGGGAATCAATGGGCCTCTGTCTGTTTTTTCTTTGCAGGGTCATTTGCAAGATCCAGACAATGATAGTAAGCCCTATTATTTAGTAATGTATAGAATATTTACAAGAACATGGTAATTAAATTGAGAGCTG